CCACGAGCCCTGGAAGGTGCCGTTGGTGTTGGAGCTGTTGACGCGGACGGGGAAGCGAGAGCCATCGAAGATGTCATTCGAGCCGGTGCCGTCGGCGTTCATGGTCACCAGCGAGGAGTTCACCGTCTGCTGTGAGGTGTAGACCACCTTGCCCTGTGCGGACATTTGCGGGAACACGTCGGTGAAGCGGTACTCCCAGTCCTTGCTCCAGCTGTACAGCGGCTTGTTTACGGGCCGGACAGGGTCCCACTCAACGTGCTCGTAGACCATGTGGCGGCCATCGGGGGACCAAGCGGGCGAGCGATGATAGCCCACCAGCGAGGCGTTGCGGTAGGCAGCACTCACACTACCTTCGGGCTGTGCGGCCGTGTAGTTGATCGAACCCGGGTAGGTGGCATTGGTGAGCAGGCTCTTGACCAGGTAACCGATGGTCTGGTTGTTCACATACTGAGGGAACAGTTTAATGCCGCCAGAGTCTCCCGACGCATGCTCCTGCCGGTCACTTCCCGTGGCAAAGTCAACGGACACGATGGCAGTGTTGACATCGTAGAAGGCGGATTCGGCCACACGCGCATAGTAGGTCAGCTCCATGGGGAGTTCATAGAAGACGATACGTTTTCCATCAGGCGAGAATTTGGGTGAGCCCTGACAGTAACCTGTGCGGTTGGACACACGACGGAAGCCGGTGCCGTCCGGACGGATGGCGTAGATGGACAGTTCCTGTGTGTGCTCCCAGCCGCTGATGTTGTTATGCCCGCGCCACGGAGTGTTGCGATCCGAGGTGAAGACCAGCCACTCGCCATCAGGCGACCACGCAGGCCGGAAGTGGCCATCGGGGAGGGTGTAATCACCTGCGACCTCGGTGGAGTTGGTGACATTCCACAATGCACCAGTCTCCAGATTCTGGATCCAGATGTTGCTCTTGTAGTTCCCGAGGGTGCCAGCAAAGGCCACCAGACTGCCATTGGGAGAGATGGCTCCGGCATCCTCCACGGCAGGGCTTGTGGCAATGGGCTGCAAGTCGGTGCCATCGGGACGGACACGGTACAGATCCGACTGACCATCTCCGGCACGCTCGCTAGTGAAGACGATCCATTCGCCGTCTGGAGACCACTGCGCATGGTAGTCAAAGGTGCTCTCATTGCCCAGCAGTCGCCGGGGGTTAGAGCCATCTGCATTGGCGACATAGAGCTCCGAGATGCCCGGTGCAATGCGATTCATTAGCATCGCCCCCTTCTTCCCGGCAACAGTGGTGCCGCGGGCTGCCAGGGTTGAGGGCTGCTCATCCGAGCGCGCCATATTGGCGTATGGACATGATGCCGCTGTGGCCAGCCCACTCAAGAGAGGAAAGAAAAGAAGAGAAGAAAGACGCATCATGATGCGGTGCCAACCTGGCGGCTGCGAACTCAGTGATGCAGGAACCACAACATCCGGAGATTTTGCAGATGGGCATGGCCCTACTTAAGCTTCACGCTGTTGTGGAGCGTCTCGTTGCGAGAGCATTGATCGATAGGCTCTGGTGCTTGTTCGGAAGAAGACCTCGGGCTTCGCAATAGCCTTCCCAATGAGGTAGGGACTGTCGCTGATGATTTTGACGAAGTTGGGCTCCCGTTATTGGCCTTCGGCTACACATGCCGATCACTCCACGGCCCAGACGGGATGGACATGCTTAGCAGCACCGCTTGGAGCCTTGGACATCCCCTTCCACGCCTCAGCGTTGAGGGATTAGCATTGCCTACTCCACCCAGGGCAGACCATGGTTGGATCCTGCGATCCTGCCAAGGAATATTGAGAGGAGAAATCCGCATCATCGCCGGAGATAGATTGGGAGAAGAGGGATGGCACCTATAGAAAGCTCGCTCTATACGTATTCAGGCGAAGACATCACTCACAGGGTACCCTTGTGGTTTTGGACTTAACGTGCTGTCAGTTTGATATCAAAACATACGACACTGGGTGGAATGGGAAGGTCCGACGTGGATGTATCGCTTCCTCCCTGAAGTATTTCACGCCAACACCAGTGAAGCTTCATCTGTCATGCTTATGGCTGGTCTCCGAAAGGATTAGGCTTGGCATACAGGACGCCACGACTATACTGTCTCCGGCCTAACCGCCGCCGAGACTCATTATCTGTGTAGTATCTCCGACATCTTTCGGAAGCCTGGTTCGGAGATTGATGGAATGGGGTTTCTGGCCGGCGGTCTTGGCAGCAACTAATTTCTCCGCGAGTCTCCGCATCTTTTCGTTTGGCTTTGGAGAGAGAGGTCTGTGAGTTCTTGGGGGAGTGGACCGTTTGCTGGCTCATTTTGTGGTTTTCTTTGAAAGCTTGAGGTCATTCTCTCGCTCCTACAGAGTTGCAGCTGTTTTAAAAACCATGGGGGGAGTCTTGGTTGGGAGGATTCGAATGATGGATTGAAAATCGGACGCAGTGCTATCTGTTGGATGACTCGTTACACAGGGCCCCGACGAGTCCAAAGCGCCACACCGTAATCCTGAGGACGAAGAAAAGAGTCGGGCTGCCGAACCAGGGACCAGGAAATGGTCCCCGCTTAATCTTGCTAATTCTAGTGGGGAGTGGAATCCATCTTGAAGAAAGATTGGCTTGAGACTGTTCGGACCGCTCCCGTTCGGCCCTCGCTTCACCCTGAATGGCGGTGCTGAGGAAGTTCAAATTGCAGCACAACAAGGGCAATTGGCATCTGACCAGTCGGCATTGATGAGAACTAAGAGAAAGAGAGACTGAAGAAGAACGAGAAGCCCTCATTTTTCTTTCGCGGACTTCATCCGATCCCCTCCAAAACGCAGTCAGTCTGACTCTCTTCAAGTCATGATCATCGTTTCTCCCCACTCCAACTCCACCCGATCCGCGCCGAATGAGATGCAGGGAAATTGCACGCTTGCACGCACGCAAATTAAAACACGAGCTGATCGCTTCCCGATAAGCCTGGGGAGGTGGAGAATTTTCAAGGAAGGGAGAAAAATCAGCTTCTTTGCCAAGCCACTCCTCTCTTCCTCGGGTTTGGAGGTTCGATTAGTCATTAATTCCGAAGGACTCAATAATCCCGTCTGGCTGTTATGGATGCTCCTACCGAGGCATGTCCCCCTGATTACCCGATACGATATGATTCGTAAATCTAGTCTTTAGGCTGAACTCACCCAGTTTGCGGAGAGAGCACGTTGCGTCAGTCTTCATAACGTCCCAAGTACTACGGTTAGTTTCAAATCACGTTGCCTGTCTTTTTTTTTTTTTTTTTTTTTTTCATCGTCGCCATCCTAATCACCGTAGCCTTCTTTATTATTCTTGTTTTGATTTATTCATTCTTTTCTTCTCTTTTCTTGTTCTTCCACTCTAGAATGAAAAGGTGGGAAAGGAAAATATATAGAGATTTGGTATATATATGTGTGTGAACAAGAACATCATGATGTGCTATTCAAGGAAGCCGGAAACTACTTGAGCACTTCAGATGAGGCGCTGGACAGCCTTCTCTCAAAAGATGTAGTACCTTTAAATAATAAAAAGCCTGTATTGGTATTCTTCTGGTGTGGACTGAGGGGTAGGAGTTGCACTTTGCAGGTACCTGACATGGTGTATCGCAGTGCCTTGCAGAATTAGGCTGACAGAGATGGGTGAGAGTCCCTCGATGTCCCGCATCGCGTTCGGTCCTTGTACTCGGTATCTCTAGAATCCCCGATACCTGGAATGCCCACACCTTAAGGAAAAGGATGCCGTCTGGGCCAAGATGTGTGGCCGATGTGCCACTACAGCAGCCGGTGCAATGGCTGCCACATCGTGAACCGTCTTGATGAGTTGTCGCTTTCCATAATGTGCAGGTCAGAATGCGCAGTGAATTAAGTACCCATGCAAAATCCCTAGCATTTGTGCCATTCATAGCGGTACTGGCTTCGATGAAGCGATAGAGCGATTAGTTCCGCTCGGGTCACCAGCAGCGTCCGCGAAGATAAGCGTTGCGCTAGACTACCTCATAGAAATGGGGAGTAGTGTTCAGAATCTGAGAAAAAAAGAGGGGTAAGAGAGAGCAGTAAAGGTAGGTATACAACTGCACCATGGCAGAGCAAAGGCAATAAAATACTAGCGACCTAACATAGAGCAGCCCACAAGTGACTCGGAGCAATCGTCGAGCTTGAGTCATGTCTACTTTAATAAATCATTCAAGGCTCGCGAACAAGATTCCTCCACATTCTTAGCCATCCAGCCAGGGCTTGAGTTCATTCTCGGTGATATGGGGTTATAGCTATGAAGATCGGGCGCAATAATCACGTATATGAGCCTCTCCTTTGTATTAGAGCCTTCTACAAGGAGTGCAAAAAGAGGTAGTGGATCCGACGTTAATAGCATCTGATGTCGTAGAAGAGATCTGGCAGCGCCCGTTGAAGAATGCACGGGATAGCAACGATTCAGCGTTTCCGTAAGGAATGCGCCGACCAATGCGAACAAGCCATCGGGATCTTCTGAACTCAGAAGACTGGACAGATGGGGAGAAACAACCTGACAGGCTGGTCAGGAAAAAAGATCGACGCATTGTCTCCGAGATCTTATCTTCCCCGCATTTCTCTCATGCCCCCCGGATTTTCATCTGCATCCATTCCCACCTCTTTGCCCAACCTTCTTTCCCACGGAGATCGACCAGCGTGGGGGATGAAGCTTAACCTCATTATCCTCGGCTATTAACAGGAGGATGTGTATGACTATCAACCAGTATCATGACGCCATCTCCGGCAGGACTAAGAAGCCTTTGATTGCTCTCCCCAACAGCTATCGGATGTAACGTAACCATCGAGTTGCCACCCTCGTCATCTATTCCCAAGCCATGGGGCAAGTGCATGCACCAAATGCAGCCTTGTTGATTGAAGCATCAACCCCCACGATGGTACCCCACCCCCGCGCTGTTGACTTGGGGTAAGGCGTCTGCCTCTTATAAGAGTATGCGTGCCCCCCCACCCTGATTCAGTCTGGCCCATATATCTATACTGATCCCACAATGACTGACTCAATTGCAAGGAAGCCCTACTTTGGGCTTGTCGGAGGATGGCTCACCTTTTGGATTACGGTACAAGATCAGCGTATGCAAAGAGCTAGTGCCCAGTACTGATTGTCTAGGTTGCTTGTGCTACGGATATGACCCTGTTCGGGTATGACCAAGGGGTCTTTAGTACGTCTTCCCGGCAATGACTTCCCAGATCTCATAATCTGATGCGTGGCAGGTGGCGTGGTTGTTACCCAGAACTTTCTCGAGGTCCACGATTTGGTCGGACCGTCAAAGACTTCCACTCTGTCGACCGTCACAGCCATCTACGACGTCGGCTGCTTTCTCGGGGCCCTCTGCGCCTTTGCCATCTCGGAACAACTCGGTCGGAAAAAGTCGATCTTGATCGGAACAGCCATTATGGCGGTTGGCACCATTCTGCAGGCGAGCTCGTATCATCTCGCTCAGATGTTTGTTGGCCGAATCATCCTAGGGTCAGAGATAACATACCCGGGGTATGGCGTTCGCTGACAGCTGCAGAATTGGAAATGGCATCAACACCTCCACAGCACCCATTTGGCAAACCGAGACTGCTCAGGTCTCCTGGCGAGGCCGACTGGTCATTTTGGAGATGGCCTTGAATGTTGGAGGCTTCATGCTCGTCAACTGGATCAACTACGGGCTTTCTTTCCACGGCGGAGCTCTGGCCTGGAGACTTCCGATTGCCCTTCAGTTTTTCTTCATCTTCGTTCTCGCTGCCACGGTTCCCTGGCTGCCCGAGTCCCCCCGGTATGTGCGCACCACAGAGACCCTTCATGTTAGTCCACTGACACAACCAGATGGTTGCTATGCCACGGTCGCACAGAAGAAGCTTTACACGTCATTTCGAGCATCGAGGATAAGCCGAAAGATGATCCCTATGTGGCAACGCAGCATCGCGAGATCGTCTATAGTATTCAGTATGAGCGAGAAAATGCGGTGCCCTGGCGGGATCTATTGACTGGCCGGTCTACCAACGATACCAAAACCTTGCGACGGTTGCTGCTGGGCGCCGGCTCACAGGCGCTGCAGCAGTTTCAGGGTATGATAGTTATTGTGATACAATGTCTTCGAACTGTCGACCTAACTGCACCTAGGGATCAACATCATGTCGTACTATCTGCCGCTGGTGCTCATCAACTCGGTCGGACTTTCCAACAGCATGTCGCGACTGCTCAGCGCATGCAATGCGACGGTGTATTTCGTGTTTGCCAGCGTGGCTGTCACGATGGTTGAGCGATTTGGCCGACGTGGTCTCATGCTGCTCTCCACCTTCGGGCAGTTCGTCTGCTTCTTGGTGATCACTATTCTGCTCCGCTTTGCCGAAATAGACACACGATATGCGACTGCTTCGGTGGCGTTTTTCTTCCTCTATTATATCGCGTTCGGCATTGGAATGTTGGGGGTGCCCTGGCTGTATCCGACCGAGATTAACTCGCTGCCCATGCGGACGAAGGGTGCAGCCGTGTCGACAGCGACGAACTGGTAGGTGCAGCTTGCAGTTGGTGCGGATTATTTACAGCGGCTGAGCATGCGATAGGATCACCAATTTTGCCATTGTTGAAATCACACCAATTGGCATCCAGCAGATTGGCTGGCGGTTCTGGATCGTCTGGACAGTCACCAACGCGGCCTCTCTGCCCATCTTCTACTTCTTCTACCCCGAGACTGGTGAGTCGATCATATCTCCCTCTCAATCACCCTTCACTGACTCGGTGCAGCAAATCGGACTCTGGAAGATCTGGACGACTACTATCGCTCGAACCCACCGTTGCTGGTTACGCGGGATCCAGACGCAGTATCCACGCAGCGTCCCTGGCGATACCGACAGCGCGAGGAGGCAGAGTACGAGCGACAGAAGAATGCCCAAGCAGGTCTAGATGCGTCAAAGGACAGCAGCGCGGCCTCGGTGAGCCACGTGGAGTGAGCCACCCTGTTTGGATGACTGGGAGGGAGACAGAAGGGATGGAGGAAGGGATCGTCGAGCGAAGAATGGGGACGGAGATTATCGATAAATAGTTGGCGCAAGATGGTGCTCGATCAGTAGAGGTTCCCGCTTGACAATATAGTAATAACTGTTTATATATTAATCGCCGTCATACTGTGGGTCTCTCTTTCTATTTCTGTAGCCAAAAAGGGCGCCGGTTGTCAATAGCTTCATCGGGATCTGTGCTCTCTCCCTGTGGACGCTCTGACGAACTGTTGGACGGGAGACCGAAGAGACGAGGCCTCCACGTGGTGTTTATTATAGTAATCAAGATCTTCCTTCCATCAACTCCTGATGATAGAATATACACTAAATTCAACTGTCCTCCGGATGAACCGGACTGCCGGGCTTGGGGTTGGCGGCGAGTGTTTGGTAGCGAGGGCCGCTAGCATCGATCTCGCCCGCATTGGCACTACCATCCTCCCATCGCATTGGTTCCAGCCTCAAAACACCGAGTCAGGGCCAATCTCGCATACAGGTCTGGTGGGCCTGCCCAGAGTCATGGCCTTCCTAACCCAGGCAGTTGAGGCGTGACCAAGAGTCAGGGACGCTGCCCCTGGGCGCAAACAGCTCCACTGGTTCGCTACGACTCTTCAACCATCATGGCTTGCTCTGTGCACATCAAAAGCCGGACCCGCGTGGCTGAAACAGCAACATTTTTCCAGCTTCTATCCAGTCGGGCCCACGGGCCAAATGCCCACCGCAATGAAAAGTCGCGACATTCCCTCAGTGCACCGCAACACTTTGACTTTCTCCCCGTCCCCGAGTTGCGTCCACCAAACATCTTGCGTGATCCAGGATGAGTGAGTCGCTGCCCTTGGTGGGCCGCAGCCTCGCCATCTTCGTCGTTGCGGCGGTGATGATGGGCATAGGCACGGTTGCAGTTGCTTTGCGCACGTTTGTCCGTGTGCACTTGGTGCGGGCGTTCGGATGGGATGACGCGCTGATGATTGTTGCTTTGGTACGGTCGCCTTGACAGGTGTTATGTATGATGCTGGAGGAACAGAAAAATAACTAACTCTCCGGCAGGTGCTGTTCATCTTCCTTAACGTCTGCTGCATGATTGGAGCAAAAACCGGAGTGGGTCACAAGATGCTGGACTTCACCAGTGTTAAGACAATAGAGAAAGCCATGCTGGTAAGAGGCATCCGCCCCCTTCACTTGTCTGTATGTAACCTTTAATGCTAAGACGGAGAACTGTAGTGGTGGTGGCTGGGTCAAATGTTATATCTCTGGGCCTCTGCTGTCGCCAAAGTGTCCATCGCGCTCGCTTTGCTGCGATTGACAGTGCGCCAAGCGCATCGCATCATTCTGTGGACCATCATCGGAGTTGTCACAGCCATCGGCCTGATGTTTTGGCTAGTCCTGCTCTTTGACTGCCACCCTGTCTCGTACTTCTGGTTGCGTCTAGAACCCACTCATTCGGGAACCTGCCTGTCGATCGGGACCCTGCTGGCCATTGCCTACTTGTACAGCGCCATCACCATCTTCTGCGACCTCACTTTGGGCATTTTGCCCGTGTTCTTGATCTGGCGACTGCAAATGAACGGTCGCACCAAGGTCGCACTGGGCGTGATTCTCAGCCTCGGAGCCATGTATGTGTCTGTTCGTTGAGATGCTCTAGTCGTGATGTCCTAACCCAGTTCCAGTGCGAGTGTTGCTGTCATCATTCGACTCCCCTTTCTTCATCACTATGGTGACACCGATTTCCTCTGTGAGTGACCACTCCACAGCTCCTGGCATAATGCATATTTTCTGACGCGACGCAGATTCCACATACCAAATCGCCATTTGGTCCATCATCGAGACCGGCCTTGGCATTACGGCTGGCAGCCTCGTCACCTTACGCGCTCTATGCCGCTGGTTCCTCGAGAGTACTAGCTCCCAGGGCCGCCGGGTTCCGGGGAAACAGGCTAGCGATGGCCCCTACGCACTGTCCAGCTGGACGGGAGAGGCCTCGAAGAAGAGCATGCGCGATCCCCGATATTGGCGTCCTGACCTCGTCCCTGGTCAGATGGATCATCTGACCGTCACCACCGTTTCCTCACCGATGGCTGGGAGCCCACGGAGTGATGCCAATAGCAGCCAGGAGATACTGAACCCGGAGGGAGAAGCCTGGTATCATGGAAACCAGGTCAGCATCCACCAGACGTTTAAGCTATCTGCGGGAGAGTAATTTGGTCGGGTATCGGTTTGCATCATTTGTTTCAATACACCTCTCCGATTTAATATAATATCGTCATTATCGTGTTAGACGTCCAGTCCGTTGTGCTGACGGAAAGAACAGCCCCTCCGGCTAATATTATGGGAAGCAATATCTATAAATCTCGATAATCGAGGAGAGAGTCATGATCATAACAACCTTGACGGAGCATGCTGACGCATCGAGGAATCAATACAAGGAGTAGGAAAGAAGAATCACAGCGCCCATTAGATCCCCAGACTGGCACAACTGAACGCCGGAGAAACCGATCCAGAGTAATCCGTGATGATGGCCTCTACCGCCGCATACAATCCCGGTCCCAACAGAAACAAGCCACAAGCCATGACGAAGGCATGCAGCAAGGTCATCGCCGTGCGCCCGAGTCCCACAAAAAGCTTCCCCCGGTAGAGATGCCAGTAGGCCACCGCGAAGAAGATGAAGCCGAAAAAAGAGTCAAAGGCGGCACCCAGCAACGAGAGAAAGTCGCCCATGCTGGGGACGACCTCGGAGAAGATGAATCCCACTACCCAGATGGCAATCATGACCAGGGCCCAGACGCCCCAGCCCACGACGGTGTTGCTGTGCGCGTGTCTGGAGGTGCCCAGGAGATGGGAATAGATGAACTTGGCGGTGACGTTGGCGTAAATGGCGCCGATGATCAGCGTGGGCACGATGACAAAACCGAACGAGGCCTTCCTGTACACCGCGAGGCCCAGACTGCCAAAGGCGGGCGCATTGGCGTATTGGCCCAGATAGTGAAAGCCGATGGCGGGCGGCATGATGAAGAGGATAGTGGAAATGGTAGCCAGGACCGCCAGTGACTTGGGGAAGTCCTCCGGATGCTCCATCTCGGCGATGAAGGTGGGGAAGAGAATCTGCGGCACCCAGAGGAAGGTGATGTTCAAGACGGCATTCATACAATCCACCCAGCTGGTGCCGGGCAAGGGGAAGGCGTATGTTCGCACAGGTCCATCGGTCGGATAATCCAGGGGAGCCTTCTCAATGCCCGCGAAAATAAGGAACAACAGAATGGCAATGCCCATGCAGGCCGCTGACATTGTTAGCGAAATACAGGGCGCAGACATTGCAGTGGAGTGGATTATAACTTACCCGAGAACATGGACATGAAGGAAACATGATGCAGGGTTCGCGGAGCGGACAGGACGATGCCCATGATCATCACGATCGCGGAGAAGGTCACGGTACACAGAGAGTGATCAGACAAAGTATCCAGCACCTTGGCTCCAGTCAGGATATGGAAACCAATCAGCAGGATGTTGTTCGCCAGCAACATGAAGCCTGAAAAGATGTATGCCGTTTGGCTTTTGCCGAAGACATAGTAGCCAAAGTCACCTGTTCCGGGGAAGACAAACTCGAGTCAGCCTTAACATTCCATCACAGGGGTCATAGGGGAGAGGGAGAGAGGAGTTACTGACAAATGTTTTTGATTTGCGGGTGCTTCATGATGTACTTGTGCATGGTGAGGGAAGTGACCCAGAAGAGAGCGCCGGACACAACCATGGTAATGATGCCGGGTACCCAACCCAGTACGCTAAGGGGACCCAATGATGATGGTTAGTTCGCGGGCCAATAGACGAAAATCTCTGTTGACTTACGAGAGTGACCAGGATTGAGCCATGATAGCCAGACAGACTTGGTCTCCGGCAAGCAACCAGGCGGCCTTTTGCCAGGACATGGTTCGGAGTTGAATCTCATGTTGATGGTCTATATTCCGCCATCCCAGCGAGTTAGTCTTGGCCTTGCCAAAGATGTCGAATTGAGTTGCAGCTTACCTTCGGTCACCAACGCGTTCCAGATCTCGGTGGAAGTGGACTCATCGGATGTCAGCTCGGCCACATCAGTGGGCGCCTCTTCCAGCTTCTCCTGGCGATACATCGGAGGAGCTGTCATGGTGTAGGGTGAGAACTGCTGGAAACCAACTAGCAGATTCTAGTGGGAAGTTGACTCGATCGGAACGCAAGGATCGACGAGCCCTGCAGCAGCAGAAGTATTTAATTTATTAAGTAGATAAACAAAGGTCAAGAGAAGTGAGGGAGAGAGACAAGAGAGAAGAATCTGGTTGGGATGGTTTGAGGATATCGAAGCTTTGATTGGCAGGCGAGGCGGAAGTGGATATGGCGTGATAAGCCCCAAAATGGCGAGGAGAACATTTTCATTGCTTTGATTGCGGGCTGGATCGTATAGTTATCGCGTTAGTTTATCTAGTTTATCTACAATGTATTCTGTCTGGCTTATCGTCTCCCCGCGTGGGTCGCGTGTCAACCCGTCTTGACCTATCCTGCTCCTGACTAAACTATTTCGATCGTCCCGGTCGCATGTCATCATAATGGCTGTTACGGGCTGGAATGGCGTGAATTGCATCCATCGTGGTTCTTCGCAGAACTCCCCACCCTCAGCACAACATTTATTGGATCTTCCGAAGTGAACTTGTTTTGTCATAATGTTCTCTCGATTACACTCACCATTTTCGGAAAGGCTCGGAGTGACTGAGATGGCAGTGACCAACAAGTAACGGCAGTCTCCTCGGTCACATCTCACCATGACCAACACTTCTCGGTCTGCTCATTCGTGAGGAAAGTAACCGACGGTCCGACCGGTGAATTATTCCCGGAACTCAATTGAAGAAATGCGGCACGTGGTTAGATAAGTATGGTACTGCAGGCACTCGCTGAATGGTGCAGCCAATCCCATATTCGGCTTTGCAGCTTAGCTGAATATCTGATTGCTAATAAGCTGCACAGTGGTGATCAGGCACCTTCGAGGCTATATCGAATCATAATTGACAGGGTCTCACCGTGTCACATGCGGGAACGTGTTACCGGCGTCTCCTCACGCAGCACTACATCACTTACATTCCTCTCACAATGCGTTGTACCGGTAGCGCAAAGTACTGAAGGAGGAGGAAAAGAGCTAGTGATATCGCACAGAATCCAGTCGTATCCTGGCTAATTCCTTCGGTCATGTTGCGCGCGGCCATCTTCTGCTGCTGGCAATCGGCTGGGCTGGGGTACTACATGCCCTACCTAACCCGCAAGTCCGAGGAACCATCAACAAGCGCCTTCCGTATACTTCCGACGAAACTTTTCACCCTGCCGAAAACGGGCTGAACATGTAGTGGTTACGATGAATAGGGGCATGGAAACGAGGCACCCAGCAGATCTTTCTGGACTAGCGGACTCTGAGAACACAGCTATCCACCTGGGTCCGGCTGGGGGATGGATTAGCATCGAATAGCTTCGAAGGAAACATAGGAGGTTGATACGCCTACGACTAGAATAGGTCATGTGAGCGAATCTAACAGTCGATAGCGCCGTCATAATCGTTGTCATTTCACATTTCAGATATAAACGCTATATATACAGATATATATACTAGTCAGTATAGATTAGTATTTCTTCTCCATCACGAACCCATGCCCAGCCAGATACTCTTCCAGCTCGCGATCCTCCTTTTCCAGATCCAATTTCCCGCTTTCCGGCAGGAACCAGTACACAATCATGCCCAGAATCGCCACGCCACCGAGAAGGTAAAATGTGGCGCTATCTCCCGCGGCATCCTGCAAGGGTGTAAAACATTGCGTGCCCACCGCCGCTCCCGTGCGACCGAAAGCCGTGGCCACACTGTATCCCATGCCGCGCATGGCGGTGGGGAAGGATTCGGTGGAGATGAGGCCAATCGTAGCGCCCGGCCCCATGTGTCCAAAGGCCTGTAGCAGTCCGTAGAGCACCACAAAGGCCGCGATGTGCTGAGAGAGCTTGACGTAGGTGCCACCGATGATGAAGCCCAGGACCACGTAGCCCGCGAATCCGGCCATTCCGGTGTACCGGCGACCGATCGAATTGGTCAGCCAGGCGCCGACGATGACGCCGGGGACGGGCAGTGCAGCCAGGATGACTTGCCAGATGGCAGTGGTCTGGATGTTGCCATCCTTGACGAGCGAGGAGATGATGGTGCTCGACATGATGCTGTTGGGGAAGTTGATAAAGTCGTAGAGGAAGAAGGCCAGCGAGGTGGTGAAGAGGCGCTTCCAGTAGCGGCGCACTAGTACCCAGTAGAACCGGGCGGGCTTCCGCTGGCGCTTGAAGTTGGAATGGTGGTACAAGGTCGAGTCGGTCATGAAAAACCGCAAGACCATGATGATGGCGGGCAAGATGGTGGCAATGCTGTAGATGGCGTGAAAGGTGACGGGCAGGTTGTTGTCGCTGGCCTTGAGGCAGATCAGGTAGATGATCATCAGAATGGGAGAGGCGGTGGTGGCCATCAGCGTGGTGAAGGAGACGAAGACGGGGCCTCGGTAGCGGCGCTTGAACTGCATACAGATATTTTGTTTAGCTGCACATTCTTGAAGTTCTTCATCACGGTCTACTTCCTAGTGCGCTGGTAGTGGAGAAAGGGATGGGAATCATACATCGTCAGATTCTTCCAGACCGGCCGCAGCACTGGGAGGGTATTCCCCGCCCACGCCAAACCCACAGATGCCACGGACGATGACAAAGTACCAGAGCATGTTGTGAGAAGGGTGCACTTGCAGGGCCAGGGTGGCCATAAGCGTGGAAATGGTGACCAGGCCCGAGGTGAAGAGGAGACCTGCGCGTCGGGAGGCCATGTCGGAGACGTATCCCAGCACGACTACTCCCAGGATAGCACCGATGAGCAGTGAATTGCTGATGCGCGTTTGCATCTCCGATGGGTAGCCGGACTTGCCCAGCAGCTTCTTGAAGATGACATTGGTGGGGTTGGCCAATTGGTTTTGAAAGCCATCACTGAAATTGGCGATATACTGTCAGAAAAACTGGTTAGCGATGCGTTCTCCGAAAAATTTTAGTCGGGGAAGAGAGGAAAATGAAAGTTCATCGGCTTTGACTCACGCAGCTCAGGATGGTCAAATTGCTCTGCCAACGCGTGGGACGGTAGGCTGCCGGCGAACCATTTTCCACCTCCTGGTCGGCCAC